GGGAGGGGCGCGGACCGAGCCTTCCGGCTGCCACGGCCGCGGAGCGTAGCCACCCCGCCCACTCGCTGACCCAGGTTTCTTCGGAGAATCAAACGGATTCGATCGAGGCTTTGAAATCCCTTTTGCCGGAGAAAACGGTGCCAGTTTCCGAATGCCAGCCCGTTCAGCCCCAGGGGAGCAGGAAACAAGACGCAGCTTGTAAAGTAGCTGCATGTGGAAAGTGCATTGGAAGGTCCCCAGAAAGCTCTGGCTTCTGCATTAAGACCCTCGCTAGTTGGGGTGTCAGACAGAAGTGCCCCCCGCCCCGCAGTCCCTTCCCCTTCCTGCAGCTGGGGTGTCAGGTGGGCCACCTGGCCTGGGGGAGAGGATCTGCCTCAGCCTGTGCCCTGCTGTGATTCNATAAATAAGGTAGCGGGGTACAAAATACCTTGGGATAGGATCAGATCACCAAGTCCCAACCAATCCAGGGAGATGACCCTGAAATTTTCCCCAGGATACCTTCCTAGTTTTAGACTTACAATTTAAGAGCTTAGAAGGGCCCTTGGACATAATCTAATAATTATATTTAAAGGCAACTTTCACTGAGCAACTCCTTTGTGCCAGGCGCCACATTACTCTATTTAAGCTTCACAGCCCAGCCATCCCATCACGTAGATATTATCTTCTCCTTATCTTCTTCTTCTCCTTAGAAACTAAGGCTCAGAGCACTTCAGGGAATTGCCTAACAAGGAAGGCAGAGGCGAGACACCATAGAGAAGACAAGCTGGAGCAAGCATGGCCAGCTTAGACTGTGGGGTGGGTAGCTGGCACAGGGCTGTCCCCACCTAGGTCAGCTCAGGGATGCCCCAGCCCCTGGTTCCACCCAGCAGTGAGTGTTTTTGCAGCTGATGAGGGACAGTATGAGGGAGGGGAGGAGGGGTCCTCTGACCCCCAGTTTCACTGACAAACTCGGTACCTTTCTTGTCTAGACCTAACTGTACTTTGCCTGAGGGATTTTTAATTTGTGCAACACAAACTGGGAGAAAACCCAGAAGCTGGGAGCAGTGACAGCACCAGCATCCCAGTGATCCATTTCCAGCTTAAGCACAAGGATACGATGAAAACAGACACCCGCATTTGGGCCTAAAAGGCCAAGGGTACCCCAACCAGTGTGGCTCAGCTGTTGAGCGTCAACCTAGGATCCGGGAGATTGCGGTTTGATTCCCTGTCAGGGCACATGCCTGGGTTGTGGGCTCCATCCCCAGTAGGGGGCGTGCAGGAGGCAGCTGATCAATGACTCTCATCATTGATGTTTCTATCTTTCTCTCTTTCTTCCTCTCTCTCAAATCAATAAAGCTATATATATTTTTTTATTTTATTTTTTTTCTTTAAAGGCCAGGGGTAGGGAGCCCAGCTGAGAGCCATCAGTAGAACTGACCCCTCTCTCCCTAATGCCGTTCTGTAACCTGTATGGATTTCTGTCATGGTCCGGGTGGGACTGAATTCTCCATGGGACCATGAGCTCATAGAGGGCAGGAATGGAGCTGTATTCTTCTTTGAAACCTCTGGTAATAGAAGTTGTTGACCAATAAGTCCATTGATGTTGGAAGAATAAAGCTGGACAGGCCTCATGAGAACCTCGAGGAGGCTGTGTAGTCAGGAGCTCAGACTTTGGAGTTGGCTAGGCCTCGATCTGAATTCTAATTCTACATCTTATTTATTTATTTATTTATTTATTTATTGATAATCCTCACCCAGGGATATTGATTTTTAGAGACAATGAGAGGGAAGGAGAGAGGGAAGGAGGGAAGGAGGGAAGGAGAGAGAGAGGAAGAAAGAGAAACATTGATGTGAGAGAGACACATCAATTGATTGCCTCCCTCATGCACCCTGACCAGGACCGAGGATCGAACCTGCAACCCAGGTAAGTGCCCTTGACAGGGAATCAGACCCATGACCCTTTGGTGTGTGGGCTGACACTCTAACCACTGATCAACACTGGCCAGGGCTGATTCTACAACTTATTAGCCGTGAGGGCCTCCATTTCCTCATCTATAATGTGATGATCAGAATTAGTACCTACCTCCTAGGGAGTGGGGAGGGTTAAAGAGAAAATGTAGGCAATGTACTTAACATGGTGCCTGGCACGTAGTAGTTGGGACACAATACACGTTAGCTGCTATCATCATCGTCATCATCGTCACTTCTTAGAGATGTCAGAGATGGAGGAAGTGACATCCGAATCGAGTCATTAAAAGGTTAGATGATGAACACCAGATAGTCAAAGCCACCTGGGTGCAAAGGCTCCCAAAAGAATGCGGTGGTTGGAGAAAGTCAAGAAAGTAGATTGGCGAAGCCTAATGAACCTGTGGGGAGAGGTTGGCCAGGTGGCCTGACCAGGCCAAGCTAGGCAGGGCCTCGTGGACCTGGATAAGGACTGTGGACTTTATTCCGAAGGCAAGGGAAGGGCGTGAAACTGGGCAGTTGTGTAATCAGATGCATATTTCAGAAGAGTTAGCAGAGAGGAGGAGCCAGGGAGGGGAAATAAAGGTGGTCAGGAAAAGTGTCGCAGACACAGTGATACCTGCTGTTCACTTGCGGTTCCCAAAGCATGCCTGGCATTCTTGAGGAAGGGAAAAAAGCCAGTGTGGCCGGAGACGAGGGAGCAAGGGGGAAGTTAGTGGGTCGGCTCGGATAGAGTTGTGTGGGTGATTGTAAAGACTAGATTTTACCTTGAGTGAAATGGGAGCCCTTAGAGGGGGTAAAGCAGAAAGAGTGGCATGATCTGACTTGCATCTTAACTTGTGCTATTGTTTGGAAAACGGACTGAGGAGACAGGGTTGGAAACAGGAAGACCAGGTAGAAGGCCTTTGGAATAATCCAAGTTATCACAATATTTGTTCATTCACGCAACAGGTATTGACTGTGCATCTACTATGTGCAGGGACCATTGCAGGCAGGCTCTGGGGACATGGCTGAGAACCAGACAGAGCACCTGCTCATTGAGACCCTTGGGGCTGTTCCCTCCTGTAGTCCAGGAGACCCAGGAGTCTGTTAGATGGGTCCTGCTCTGTGGTCTGCTGGGACCCTCAGGTGTCAGAGTGAGCAGGAGCTTCCTCTTAAGGCACACGTGGGCTGCTGAGGCCTGGGGAGGGTGTGGGGCTGCAGTACAGCCGGTCATGGCGTGGCTGTCATGGGGATCCTGACCCTCAGGTTCCCCGCCTCCCCCGTCCCCCACGCTTCAGCCGCTCCAGATGGCTCCTGGTTCCTCAAACCCATTGAGTGCGTGACTGCCTGACATGCGACTCTTCAGCTCAGAATGACTGAAGTCAAGACCAGCAGGAGCTCCAGGCTTCATGACCTCTTTTTTCCCCCCTAGGGAGACCCCATCTGGCCCCTCCCCAGAACGTGACGCTGCTCTCCCGGAACTTCAGTGTATACCTGACATGGCTCCCAGGGCCTGGCAACCCCCAGAATGTGACCTATCTTGTGGCCTATCATAGGTAACGAGGAGCCTCCAGGCTGGTGGGTGGGAAGACTGAGGAGGTAGGCGGGGGTAGGAGGGGTGTCTCTGGTGCTTCAGTGTGGGCGGCATTTGCTGGATTTCTAGGTACCTCGGGATATGGGATGTGGCAGGTACTTGGAGAGGGCGCTTGATAAAGGTCTGGAGGTGGGATTGAGGTTGAATGAAGAACAGTGCACAGGTGACAGACCTTCCAGGGGTGAGGGTGGATCTTTGAGAAAATTCAAAGCAGGGTTTGGGTCAAGCTATGAAGGCCCCGTGAGGGGATTTGTGGCGGCCTGGATTCAGCGCTTGAAGTTGTTTCAGCAGATAAGGGAGGGCGAATGGGTCTCCTGCAGAGCCTGTGTTGGGCATCACTAGGTGTCACCCTTTTCCCCAGAGAACCCACACAGAGACTTGGGGTCCCTCCCAACTTGGCAGGCCAGACAGCCACTACTCACCCAGAGGTATCTCAGAATGTGAACAGCTTCACCATCCTTGCACATAGGTGGGAATCATGTGAGGTTCTCTAGTAGGAGAATAAGATGAGAAAAGCAGGTACTCAGGAAGATTGATCTAGAACTGGTGAGGAGGGAGGGGGAAGCTGGAAGGGGAGGACAATGCCATGTCCTCAGGACCTACCATGTGCCAACTGAGTGCTAAGGGCGTTGCATGAATATTTCACTCCCTCCCAGCATCGCCAGGCAGGCAGGTAGGCAGGCAGGCACTGCACCTCCCCCATATTAGAGGTGAGGAAACTGGGCTCAGAGAGGTGCCAGGGTTTGCCCGAGGACACCGGTGATGGAGCCAGAAAAAAATCTCAAGTCTGTCTGACCCCAAAGCTTGTGCTCCTCCCGTTCCATCATTGTCCCTCTACCCAAAGCACCCAGATGCGAGTGATGGGGGCCTGGCTTGGAGGACAGACTGCAAGAGAGCTTCCCAAAGAAAGAACTGTATAAAACTGTATCAGGAGGCAGAACACACGTCCTATGGAGTGTGCGTTTGCTGTTAGGTCAACACTGAGGCAATACAGTAATCGTATTTAATCTCACAGTCCTCTGAGGAAGGATGCAGTAGCTGCACTCTGCAGTTGAGAAAATTGAAGCACCAGGAGTGTGTTTTGCTCAGAGCCGCACTGCCGGGAAGAGTGGGGCTGGGGTAAATTGATTAAAGAGCTCAAAGGCCCCTTGCAATGTTCTCCGTCTCTCTTACACTCCTTAAACACCTGTGACAATCGCCAAATGGTAACATTCTAGTTGTTAGTTTTCATTTTGTAGTTGGAATTATTTTATAAAGGGATGCTTTCCCTATGTAGTATCTGATCTTCAGAGGTTCTTTTCAAATAGGCCAGACAGAATAAATGCTTAATTTTTTTCCTCTTATTTACCAGTTTTCTAGATAATGAATTGGTCCCCATCATCTCCCAATGGTGGTGGATTCATGTTTCTTTTTATTATCATTATGAACTCAAGCATTTAAACGCATCTGATGGTTTCAATATGTTGCAACTTACTCTACTCAATGAAGCTTGAGTTGTCCCATCTTTGGCCAGTGAAAGTCTCTTCAGATTGGCTCCTGAGTCCTTCCCACTTGACCCTGGTAGTCTTTGATATCTTTATTGTCATAACAAGATGTTCCAGGCTCCTTCGCACAATTCCTAACCTAAAACCTAGAATCAGCCATTTCTCCATTTAGTAGGGAATAGTTTTACAGAGCACAGTCTGCCCGGACGGCGTGGCTCAGCGGTTGAGCATCGACCTAGGATCCAGGAGATCGGGGTTTGATTCCCGGTCAGGGCACATGCCCGGGTTATGGGCTTGACCCCCAGTAGGGGGCGTGCAGGAGGCAGTTAATCAGTGACTCTCATTATTGATGTTTCTATCTCTCTCTCTCCCTCTCCCTTCCTCTCTCTGAATTCAACAAATAAATTTTTTTTTTTTAAAAAAGAGCAGTCTGTGTGCTTGTTATACTGATCACTACTTAGCTGTTGCTTTTAGATCTTTTCCTGGCTTTTCCTGGAGATGGCTGATTAAATCTACAAGTCACAACCAAGCTCTCTTTATCAAAAAATTTTTGAGCCACGCTCTTGGCATTGTCTCCAGAATGTGCTTTCTCATCTTTTGCAATATACATAAGCTGAGAATTTTTCAAATACTCAATTTTTGCTTAGCAGCAGTTTCTTCAACTTATTGCGGTCCTCTCTCATTTTACTATATAGGCAGTAAGGAGAAACCAGGTTACATCTTTAACACTTTGCTGAGAAATCTCCTCAGCTAAATGCCCAAGGTCGTCACTTTTAGCTTCTACTTTCCGCAAAACACTAGAAAAAGATTCACCCACGTTCTTTGCCTCTTTGTACCAATGATCACCTTTCCTTCAGTTTCCAGTAAGACATTCCTCCTTTCCACCTGAGATCCCCCCAGAATCACCTTGAACTTCCATGTTCCTGCCAACAGTCTCTTCGAGGCAGTCTAGACTTTTTCCAGCATGCGCCTCAAAACTCTTCCAGCCTCTACCCATGACCTGGTTGCAAAACCACTTCCACATTTTTAGCTGTTTGTTACATTAGCTCCCCACTGTGGTACAAAAAGCTGAGTCCTTTTAATCTAGTTTGCTAGGGCTGCCATAACGAAACATTGTAGACTGAGGCTTACATGACAGAAATTCATTTCTCACAGTTCTGGAGGCTGGCCGTCCAAGATCAAGGTGTTGGCACGTTTGCTTTCTCCTGAGGCCTCTCTCCTTGGCTTGCAGATGACCACCTCCTCACCTGGCCTTTTCTCTGTGTGTAAGCATCCCTGGTGGCCCTTCCTCCTCTTATAAGAATACCAGTCTTACTGGTTTAGGGCCCCACCCTTACGACCGAATTTAATATTAATTACATTTTTAAAGGCCCTGTCTCCAAATACAGTAGTCAAACCTTATCCATGGTTTGGCTTTCTGGTGGTTTCAGTTACCTGAGGCCAATCGTGTTTGAAAAATATTAAATGGAAAATTCCAGGAATAAATAATTCATAAGTGTTAAATTGCATGCCATTCTGAGTAGCGTGATGAAACCTGGCACTGTCCGGCTCCATTCTGGGACGTGAATCATCCCTTGGTCTAGCATGTCCATGCTGTATGCGCTATCCACCTGTCAGTCACTTAGTAGCCATCATGATTATTAGTTTGGTTATCAGAGACAGAAAGACCACATTCACTAACTTTTATTACAGTATATTGTTATAGTTCTGTTTTATTATTATTGTTACTCTCACTGTGCCTCATTTATAAATTAAACGTTATCATAGATATGCATGTATAGGAAAAAACATATATATAGGGTTTGATACTATCAGCAGTTTCAGGGGGGTCTTGGAACATGTTCCCCTCAAATAACAGGGGACTACTATACAGTCACATTGGGGGTTAGGGCTTCAGTATACAAATATGGAGGGAACACAATTTAGTACCTAATAAACTGGATTTCATTAAATTTAAAACTTTTGCTCTTCAAAAAAAGCCTGAGGAAAATGAAAAAGCCAGCAACTGAGGAAAAATACTCACAATATACACACTGACAAAGGACTTGTATCCAAAATAAAGAACCCCCACATCTCCATAAGAAGACAAATCACCGAAAAAGATTTGAAAAGTCACTTCACAAAAGAAGATATATGAATGGCCAGTAAGCACATAAAAAAATGTTCAGTATCATTAGTCTTTAGGAAAATGTAAATTAAAGCTACAATGAGACACTGCTACGCACCCACTAGAATGGTGAAATTAAAAGGACTGACAATACTAAGTGCTATCAAGCATGTGGAGTAACTGGAACTCTCAGACATTGTTGATGGGAATGTACAAAGGTACAGTCATTTGGAAAACAGCTTGACAGTTTCTTATAGTTACACATTCAGTTTATCAAATCTCCCAGTTTCTACTCCCAGATCTTTACCCAAGAGAAATAAAAATGTCCATGTAGAGACTTACACATGAATGTTCATAGCTGCTGAATTCACAATAGCCCTCTTATGGACTGAATTATTTCCCTTCATCCCCATATATATATAATTATAATTATATGTTAAAGCTCTATGTGACTGTATTTGGAATAGGGCTTTTAAAGAGATAATTAAGATTAAATTTGGTCATAAGGGTGGGGCCCTAACCCAATAGGATTAGTGTCTTTATAAGAAGACAAAGGGAAAACAGGGATGCTCACACACAGAGAAAAGGCCCTGTAAGGACACAGAGAGAAAGAAAGCCACCTGCAAGCCAAGGAGAGAGGCCTCAGGAGGAAGCAAACTTGCAGACACCTTGATCTTGGGCTTCTAGATTCAGAACCGTGAGAAATAACTTTCTGTTCTTTAGCCACCTAGTCTGGTATTATCACGGCAGCCGAAACTGACTAATTCATCAGGTTTCTTTTTTTCAGGGTAAAGGCTTTCAGTGTCCATAGAAATACTTGCCCGACTCATGGTCATGAAGATAGTTTTATATTTTTAGCATTTACATTTCTGTTCTTTTTTAAAAAAGCTTTTCTTCTTTTTACTTTCTGTTTCTTTTAAGACAGTATCTGTTGTATTAACTTGCTCTTTTATTCTAGTTTATTCATTTCTGAAATGAGGTTTTTTTAAAAATGTCATTTTTTTCTAAGCCTCTCTGTTTTATGTTGTTCTTTCATGTGTTGTATCATTTTTTAGTGTCTTTCGGACCATTTTGAAGGAGTAGGTTACAGCTTTGATCTGTTCATGTATGGGTGTTGTGGTTTTGGGGGTTTTTTGCATGTATTTCCTGACTTCTTCAGCTGATTGCTCATTAGCTTATTAATTTCTATCCTTTCTTATTTTATGCATATTTAGAGCTGTATTTACCCTCTAAGTATTATTTAGCTATATCTCAGATTCTTATTTATATTATATTTGTAATCATTTAGTTTTAGATATTTACTAATTTCCATTATAATTCTTTCTTTGATCCATGAGTTATTTAAAAACATTTAAAAATTTTCAACCGTTCTTTAGTTTTCTTTGCTTTAGTGACTTTTAGCTGTATTATTTGCAAACAGAGGAAACCGTTTATGAGATAACTATTCTTTGAAATTTCTTGAGAGTTGTTTTATTTTTGTTAATACTTGTTAATATTTTTAATATGTTATTAATGTTCATGTGTGGCTTAACCAGTTTGTTCAGTTTGTTCTATATGTGTTCATTAGACCAACTTCGATAATTATGTTGTTCATTTTTTACATATTTTTTATTCTTTTTCTTTGTTCAGTTGTCAATTATTGAGTCAGTTGTATTAAAATTTTTCTCGTTATAATTATGGGTTTTCTGTTTCTTCCTGTAGTTTGTCTACTTTTGCTCCAAAATATATCCTGAATTCAACCCCTTCTCCCAAGTCTACCGCCATTCTCTCTGGGATCATTGCTGCAGCCTCCTAGCTGGCTCATCAGTGATCTTTTAAAAACATAAATTAGATCAGTCCCCTATTCAGAACCTTCCCGTGGCTTCCTGTCACACTTGGAATAAAATCCAAATTCCTTACCAAGATGGTGAAGCCCACCCGCTCTACCCATCTTCACCCCATCTGTGCACAACTCCTCCCTCCCTTGTCCACTGGGTTTCGGCCACACTAGTCTCCTTGCTAGTGTGTCCCCCTGTGACATCCACACAGCCCCCAGCAGGGTGGCCGGCACACAGCAGGTGGTCATTGCATAAATGCCTGAATGAATAAACATGTGGAGAATTGTCACTAGCACTGGCAATAGCAGCCACCGTGACCCATGGCAGGTGAGGAGCCTGGGCCCAGGGCTGGTTACCTGCAGAGGGTCCCCGCGCTGGTCAGGACCGGAGCCACAATTCCCGCCCACGTGTGTGTCCTTGGAGCCTGAGCTCCTCACTGGACTGTTCTCGTTCTGTCGCAACCAAAGGCTGGCTTCTTGGACAGATGGACGGATGGAGGACAGATGGGTAGATGAGTGAATGGACCAGGCGGAATGGAGGGACGAGTGATCCCGCGTTCTCTAAGTTCCCTTGCCCCAGGAGGCTGAGTCCACGGCCCAGGCTCTTCTCTTTCCTCCCTCAGCTCTGCAACAACCTCCAAACGGTGGCGGAAAGTGGACAGGTGTGCAGGAACCAAAGAGCTGACATGTTCTCTGATGTGCCTGAAGAATCAGGACCTATACAACAAGTTCAAGGGGCGCGTGCGCGTGGTTTCAGCCAGCACCAAGTCCCCCTGGGTGGAGTCCAAGTACCTGGAGTACCTTTTTGAAGGTAGGTGTACAGGTAAGGGACCGAGTGGGAGGCTTTCTGTCCAAGAACTTGGTTCAGAGGCAGGCACTGCTGTGCAACCATCTGTCTCCCACTTCCCCAAAGCGGAGACCAGCCCTGTGGGGCAGCCACCATGGGCCACAGCCTGCCTTCGTGGCAGGGAGTTAGGGGAGTGCCACACTGCCAGCAGCTCAGCTTACCCGTCCTGCTGTGATATTTATGATCTTCTATTGAGCACAACTTTGGTGTCATGAGCTCAAAAGGCACTTATACTAGGAAGGAAGCAAGTATGGATGGAGAGATGGATAGGAAGGCAAGGCAGCTGGGCGGATCAGCGGTTAGAGAGCAGAGAAGCAAGGCTGGCGGCCTGGGAAGGGCGGGGGGAGGCAAAAGAGGCAAGAACAAACGGAGGAAGGAAAGGCAAGGAGGAAAGATATATGGAAAGGAAAGAAGAATAGATGGGTGAGTAGAAAAGTAGGCTGATTGGCTAGAAAGGATGGATAGGAGGAAGGAATATTGGTTGGAAAGGAAGGGTGGGAAGGCAGGAAGACGGGCTGCCGGCCAGAAGAAGGATGGATGAACCTCTGGAATGGTTGGATAGGTAGGAACGAGATAGAAATGGAGGGAAAGATGCAGAGAGGAGATGACCTTTGTAAATTAAATTTTTTGCCGCCTCCTCCCTGAAGCTCTCCTGATTCTCCCACAGCACACCCTAAGCCTGAATGAGCCTTCCTGCCTTTTTCTGCCCTCCACTGTGGCCCTGGTCACTTTCTCTCTTGAGTTTTGGCAGTTTGCATATTTCATTTCCCCCTAATTTCTTTCAGTTCCTGCACGTCAGGATCCATAGAGGCCTCATCTCCCCATTACCCTCAGCTCCTTGCTCAGAGCTTAATACATAGTCAGTATCCCCTGGACTCTGACCTGTAGCCCTGTGAGATAATAAACTTGTGTTGTTTTAAGCCACTAAGTTTGTGTTAGAGCAGCTGTAGAAAACTGATACACAAGGGCAGGATTCTGGCAGACCAGTGGTATGCGAAGGGTACTCAGGTAGAAGGGACAACGTGAATAAAGGTAGGTTAACTGTGACCTTGACCTCTTTAAGCCTCAGTTTCCCCTTCTTTAAAATGGGACTATCTCCCATGGACACTGCAGGGCTTAAATAAAATGGCTGGGAGGCTCCTGATGTATAGTAGGTGCTAGACAAACAGTGGTGCCATGTTCCCCTTCCCAGGAGAGCTCCCTGGGCTAGGTGAGGAGCAGGCTCGCCTGGAGGCAGGGGCGTGGGTGCACTGTGGCCCCAGAGGGTACTGACAAGTCCTGTTCTGTTTCTGCCAGTGGAGCCGGCCCCGCCCATCCTGGTAGTTACTCGGGCAGAGGAGATCCTGAAGGTCAATGCTACATACCAGCTGCCCCCCTGCATGCCCTCATCGAATCTGAAGTATGAGGTGGATTTCTGGAAGGAGGGGACTAGGAACAAGGTGGGAAGCCCCTTTTCTGCTCCCTTGCTGTTCCCCCTTCCCCCACCAACCCCAGTGCTCCTCACCCTCCCAGCCTACTACCTGCACACCTCCTCCAGGAAGCCTTCCCTATATACCCCTCACTCTTAGCATACCTCTGACTCTGCATAGTGTGAATGGCCTGTGGGCACCCCCCGCCGCCCTTCTTCTCCTAAGAGGCCAAGGACAGGGCATTTTGTCCCTGTTACAGGTGGTAACAGCACAGCAGTTTTCCACCTGATATTTTTTAAAATTATGAAACCTTTTTAAAAAAAATAAAATCTGATTGAAGTATGGCAAGCTATAGGAGGTCTGCTTACCAAGCCACCAGATTCATTATAGAAAAATCAGAAAATACACATAAACTCTATGGGGAAAACCAAAAGTATCAGAGATGACCACAAATAAGTCTTTGGTGTCTATCTAGACTTGTTTTCTATGGGCGCATGTGTGTATGTCTGTATGTATTTATGGTAGGATTGGCAAACTTTTTCTGTAAAGGACCAGATAGTAAGTATTTGTGGCTTTGCAGATCATATGGTCTGTCACAGCTACTCAACTCTGCATCCGCAACACAAAAGGAACCAGAGACACTATGTAAATGCACAGGCTTAGGTGTTTTCCAACGAAACTGTTGCCAAAAAAGCTGGCAGCCAGATTTGCCCACAGGCTGTATGGTTGACTGATCCCATCCTATTTTATTTTTTCTTTCATTGAACCAACATTCACACTCCTGACCCCCTGCATCCTCTGGATCCTAGGATGTACACCTTCACCTGATGTGGTCCATGCCTTCTGGAACCTTACAAATATTCTAGACCGGCGCTGTCCAATCGAAATGTAATGCAGCCCTGGCTGGTGTGGCTCAGTTGGCTGGGCATCATCCCATGCACGTAAAGGCTGCCAGTTCAATTTCCAGTCAGGCACATGCCCGGAAGGGGGCATGCAGGAGGCAGCCAATCTGTGTTCCACTCTTGCATTGATGTTTCTCTCTCTCTCCCTTTCTCTCTGAAAAATCCATAAAAATATTTTTAAAAAAAAGAAATGCAAACCACATATGTAATTTTAAGTTTCCTTGTAAATTAAGTAAAGAGAAACAGGTGAATTTAATTTTTGTAATTTATTTCATCCAACATAATGTTATCATTTTAACATATAATTAATATAAAAATTATTGAGATATTTGACATTCTTTTTTACTTAGTCTTTGAAAGCCGGCATGTATTTTATACTCAGAGTCCATCCTAGTTTGGACTAGTGCTCAGGAGCCACGTGTGGCCAGTTGTCACTGTATTGGACGGACAGCCCTAGAGTTTTCTGGCAGCGATGGCTGAGTGATGTCCCCCTCTCCCCCAAGTACATTGGGAGGCCCTTAGCGTAGGAAGCCTGAGGAATATGTCTCTCAAAGGGAAGACCAGCAGGCCCTGGGCATGGGGCAGGGAGTGACCCAGAATGGCAGGGGTGCTTTTGAACCCTGACCATCTCTACCTCAAAATTCAGCAGAAAGGAAACCAGATGGTGCTGTGAAAAGCTGCCTTAACATTTGAACTTGACTGTAGGAAAAGAAGATGCTGGATCCTGCCTGCCAGCCCCACCCCGTCCTGGCTGTACAGAGCCGGTTCCCACAGCAGCCTGCTCACCTCTGCTTCTTACTCCAACAGACCCGATTTCCAGCCACCCTGCATGGCCAGCCAGTCCAGATCCCCCTCCAGCTGGATACCGGTGGACACCACTGCATCAGCGCCAGAACCATCTACACCTTCGGTGACCCTAAATACAGCGAGTTCTCCAAGCCCACCTGCTTCTCCCTGGAGACCCCAGGTGGGTGCAAAGTGGTACAGAATCGAGGACTTTTTCCCTGAGCGTCAGGATCTTCATAATGTGGTAGTTAAGAGCATGAGTCTGGAGACAGGCTCACCTCGATTAAAATCCTGGCTCTACCACACTCACTGTGCACCTTTGGGCAGCTTACATAACCCTTCTGATTCTTAGTTTCCACAATCTGTAGCATGGGTTTATTCTTATGAGGATTAAATAGGATGATGTACACATGTGAGGTCCTCGGGACATATGCAGTTGCTAGATAGGAGCCATTGTTGTTGTTTCAGTAATTATTATTATTTTTGCCTAGGAGTCAACTGGGCATTCCTGGTGCTGCTCCCACTTCTGCTGCCCCTGCTGTTGGTTATTGCCACAGGGCATGTGATCTGGAAGAGCTTTGCAAGGAACCCCTGGCTGCAGCGGACAAAGATGCCACAGGCTCTAGTATGGCAAATCTGGGGATGTGCATTGGGGGGGGGGGTTTGAGATGGCCCAAACTGCAAGACTTCTCCTTTCTTTGTGTCTAAATTTCCACTATTAGTAATTCATTCCTTTGGCATCAAATTCAAATACCTGGGAGGGAGAAGTGCCTTAAGTCCCTGTTAGTTAAATAACTTCATCTCTGCTAAGGATTTGTCAGGTGCCAAGAGCAGAGCCCCCACCCTTGGGACTCAGGAGAGATGCTCAAAAGGGGAAGGGAGAGATGTCAAAAGGGGAAGTCTTAGAAGGGTCCCAACACTTAGTTCACAATCTACCCCAGGGTGAATCTTGCCTCAGCTGACCCTGGAATTTCCTCACTTGTCTGCTGGCTCACTCCCTTAGAATGCGGAGGCCAGCTGGGGCAGGGAAGCCTGGGGAGGTCGGGTGGGTCAGACTTGTTCAGATGAGGGCCTGGTGAGGGAGGCTGGGCCATAGTGAGGCTCAGTGGGCTCTTGGGCTGGGTGGGGGCTTTGAGGATAGATTCTGAGTGTCTCTGTACGTGGGAAGGAGTATTTAAAAAATATAAAAAATATATATATATATCTTTATTGATTTCAGAGAGAGGGAGGGAGAGAGAGAGAAAACATGAATGATGAGAGAGTCATGATTGATCTGCTGCCCCCTGCACACCCCTGCTGGAGATCGAGCCCACAACCCGGGCGTGTGCCCTGACCGGGAATCAAACCATGATCTCCTAGATCCTAGGTCGATGCTTAACCTTTATTTTTAAAACTTTATTTTTAAAGTTCCTTCCAGCAGCTGGCACCTGCATCCTGGGGGCTGTCTCTGGCCTCTGGCGTCCACTCTGCCTGTGCACGTGGCAGGCTACAAGTGCCAGGGAGGTGGCACTGCTTCCACTCCTCCCTCCCCTCGCCTGATGGTGCTCTGAGATATGGGCACTGCAGTGGCTCCCTGAGTCTCCAGCAGGGTTAAGCTGGAGCTGCCTTAGAAGTAACTTGCCTGATAACACCCATCTTAGTGGCCACCCC